AGAGTTATTCATCAAGCCTGACCTGATTAGAAGGTCTAGCAAATATTGAGGTGATAACCCATATGTAAAATAGCTGGTTGGATATGATAAACATTTTGAGATTATGGGCAGTGAAGAAGAAAACAGATAAATGACTGGCTAGGAGATGTGGACATTTTGCTGGAGGCGTGAGGCTCGCTTCTGGAGGGGCTTTGACCTCACTTGAGTGCCAGACATCGCAGGGGAAAGCCGCGCTCCGTTGAGCTCCCGTCAGAAGGGAACCCCCTAGTGATATATCTCCAAGAGAAGAGAAGTGTGTAGACGTGCCAGCTGTGGAACTGAGCTGGGAACGTTGTGGTCTCAAGTCCTGGTCGAAGAGGAGAGTATTAAACCGCCCAGAGGCATTATTGGGGGCCGTGGAAGCGCCCTGACCAAGCTTCGTCAGAGGGAGGAGCGCCCTCGACCAGACAATCTGTGGTAAGCACGATATACGCCAGTTCATAGTGGTTGCTTGTAGTTGGTCGTGTGCCCAGCGACAGTAGCAATGTTTATTGATAAGTTAGACATGTTTTGATAAGGCAGAAAGCCTAAAATAAGAGAGTGGAGAGGGAGGAACACGGAGCGACGTTTGTCCCCTCTGAGCGCTGGCAGGCAACTGAGGGAGCCCGGCTCCTGACGGTGGAAGACCCTCCCAGCGTGTGGGGACCGCCGCCGGGTCGAGGTGGAGTATGGACCCGCCCAAAACGGGGGAGTCCACTCTCTCTCTGTGTAGAGGACAGATAGAGGTTTGAGGCAAACATATTGTGTGATTATTTTTGTTTATGTGTTGAAGGGGAAACATTTTTATTGGAGTGTCGATGGGTTGCAGGTTTGTCTTTGGGGAAGAAGTTGCTGAGAACTTCGAAGCCAGCACAGATGAAGTAATTGATGAGACTCCAAGGTAGTGGAGGAGAGGACCTCGAGCTGTGAGGAGAAGCAGTGAAGAGGAGTGTCACGTGCTTCTGTAGAGGACCTAGCAGAAGGGTGAAGCACCGTAGTTGCTCAAGGAAACTTCATGATAGCAGCCTGGAGGAGCTGCAGAGGATCCTGGTAGTGAAGCCCGGAAGAACCTGAAGATACCAGGGAAGTGAACTTCCAGAGGTGGAAGGGAAGTTCTGGTGGATTACTTGTAGGGAGTTGATAGTGTTTAGTTGTCATTAGTGTGCAAGACGCAGTGAGAGGTGAGTGGTTGTTTGCATTCTCACGTCAAGGAGTGTTTTATACTGAAGTTTAGAGTTACAGTCGTAGGCTGGATTACCTACAGACGTATGTGTTCTAGGACTGATAGAGTGATCGATTGATCATTGTTGTGTATCAAGGAACATTTATACTGATATATGTTATTGCATTCACATGCTGATTTTCTTTGTACACATTTATAGATATATATATATGTTCTCTTGCTGATGGTGCAACAGTGTATGTAGACTTGATCTACTTGAGGAGGTTGATAGTATCAGGTGGTGAAGCAGAAGATAGGATACCACTTGATAAGCTGATGATAGAGTTTTGATGATGTTGGAGTGCAACCTGATAGTAATATTATAGAGTATAGGATTCATTATTATTATATGTGTGTATGTATTGTGTATGTGCTTTGTCTAGTAAATGTATCCTAATTTGCTGGTGTTTGCCCTTGTCCTAGTGAGGCTTCCCAGGAGGTAGTAAAGAAGGAGAGAGAGAAAGAACCAAGAACCACTGCTGTGGACAGGGTAGAAGGTAATACTAATAAGTCATAGGGGATTGAGGAGATCATATCTCATGAGGAGAGAGTGGGGAGTCACAGCGGCTCGAGTGGGTGTGTGCACGTGACAACGAGGCTAAGTGTTGGAGCCGCATCCCCTAAACGTGTGACGTTGAGCCCCTCTCCAAGAGCCAGAAGCGCCAAGGGTGATCTCCTAGTATAAGCACTCTACCGAGTTGTGGGTTGGGTTGTCTGCAAAGGAGGAACAGCGACAACACCACCAACACACAATCTATAATATTCTGGAATAATAAGTCACCTTCAGCGACGAGTACAGGATTTTAGTTAGTAGTCATCTTCGAAAATTAATTTGGCAACTATACCTAGGTCAGTTTCTCAGCTTGAGAGAGCAGCTTTGGGTCAGTGTGGGTTGAGACTTCCTGGGGAGGGGGGGGGGCAACACCTCCTCTCCAGAGGCAAGGCTTAACAAGTGGCCTGGCCTGGCTGTGGTATTTAAGGTAAATGATGTGTTTCTGATGTAAGGGTAGTTGTGGAATCCACATTATTTGTTGTAGTCAATTATCATTTGCCTCAGTTAGGAATATATTCAGTTCAGGAAGTGTTCAGATAGGGCGTGTTTCCTTTATTTTAATTGATCATTTTTGTCTAATAAATCTTGTTTAAAATTTATGGTGTTTAGTGGAATTTCTCCCAACAATTATTTTACAGGCTCCCTGTTGGGCTTCAGACCCCAGGCTTGGGACTAGGCTCCCTGTTGGGCTTCAGACCCCAGGCTTGGGACTAGGCTCCCTGTTGGGCTTCAGACCCCAGGCTTGGGACTAGGCTCCCTGTTGGGCTTCAGACCCCAGGCTTGGGACTAGGCTCCCTGTTGGGCTTCAGACCCCAGGCTTGGGACTAGGCTCCCTGTTGGGCTTCAGACCCCAGGCTTGGGACTAGGCTCCCTGTTGGGCTTCAGACCCCAGGCTTGGGACTAGGCTCCCTGTTGGGCTTCAGACCCCAGGCTTGGGACTAGGCTCCCTCTGCAAGCCTGCAAGCATTTATTTAATATCGCATATAATCCCTTTGTACTTTGATTTAATCCACATTTAACATAAATCTTATTCCTCCTTTTCGGATAACTGGGGATCCATTTTCGGGTGTTATGCCTAATTGACGGTATGCTGCTTCACCGTCAATTGGGGGAATTACCCAGTGGGTGGAAATAGCAGGTGGTGGCTCAGAGGTTTGCAGTGTGACTTAGAAGGGCACGGTGTCCTCGGGTCGTGATATCTAAACGATCGAACGTTTTAGATCTGGAGGAGTTGTACTGAAGGTTACACACCAGAACTCTGGTCTAAGGGTTTACTTAATAACGACCAACATTTACCCCAGTAAGTGAGGATAATGTCTGGCCCCCGTTATAATAGCACAATCGGAGCTCCAGGTAACTCACCCTCTCACTGTGAGATATACTGTATGGGTATACTGAAGTATACAACATGGGTATACCGAGGTATACAGGATGGGTATACCCAGGTATACCACATGGTTATACCAAGGTATACCGCATGGGTATACTAAGATATACTACTTGGGGCATACTAAGGTATACCACATGGGTATATTAAGGTATACTGCATGAGTATACTGACTTATTTTCAGCAAATATTTTATTTTGTTAAACTCTTCATCGAGATGAGTGAGGCAATAGTTTGATGGTTGTTAAGACCCGGAAGTGCTAGTTACGGCACCGTCGGGGAATTAAGTGTATCACCAACCAGCACCAACAAGCCCACGTGACCCCACGTGAGGTCAGCTCAGGTCACCGTGGCAGGAGCAGTCTTGCCTCGTCTTCCATAGAGGGAATATCCACCTGTAAGACGTCTCGTCCTGCCTGTCTTCCTTCTCCCGGGACGACCTTCCAGAGACGCCTCTCGCTGGAAACTGAACCTAATGTAACCTTGGAGGAAGTTTCATCGAGTCCCTCAAGAGCAAGGTGCGCCTTCTTTAGGAACTACAGTTTTTCAGTGTGTCACGAAGTCGTGGCACCATTTAGATTTAAGTAAATGTTCCTAACGCAAGAGTGATTGAGTGCGCGAGTATGAAGGCAAACGGGTTGAACATTGTGTAAATATTCTGGTTTAAGGTTAAACTGACAAACTGATTTAAGATTAAATGTGTAAATAATAAGAATAATTTAGTCGAAGAAATCGTGAAAGGTCTTAAAATTGTGCATTTAGAAAGGTGGTTGTAATGTATATATATTTCCTGGAGTATATTATATATATATATTAACGGTGGTAGTTTTATTGACTCGATATTATTACATGTCTTGACGCGTTAGTGTGGTCCTATGTACTCCAATGTACACTCTAGTGGCCAAGAGTGCAGTAAAAGGAAGAACATGAGGGCCTAGCCTAGCCGTAGCCTAGCTGTAGCCGTAGCCTAGCCAGGCCGTAGCCTAGCCAGGCCGTAGTGAGTGTGCCGCACGTGACCCTAGGCCAGGCTGGTGGTGTATAGTGCTCCCATACCTCTAACACAGCTATTCTTCGGGAATACTTAATGTTGATATAAGTGTGTCAACATTAACAAGGAATCATATACCTTGTTTCTGTATCCATCACTTTGTCCTCTCATTTCAGGCTACAAAGGTACTTATATATATAAGAAATGCAGAAGACAGTCTACAACTGTGTTGGTGGAGAAGCGACCAGCTTGAGGTTACCTCTGGGGTTGAAGCCCATAAAGTTGAGAGTGTGGGTTCCTTCAGTGGTCACACGTCATTGTTTCGTCGGAGTCGCCCACCCAATAGCCCGTTTGTTGCAGCAATAAATATTAGCTATGGAAAAGCCTGGATTATAAAATTGTTCTGCCTGAGGTCCATGTTAATGTGCGAGGATGATCCCTTGAGCAGTGACGTTAACATGGGCTCAATCAGATCAATAACGCCATCCTGTAAATGTTACTTGATTACTCTCTTTTGTTTCTTGAGGTGTTGCCGTAATGTATTGACCTAATAACAAGGCCAAGGTTGCAGGTCCTGTTGACCCGTCTGGCCTTGGATTGGTCACACCTGCGTGCTCGGATTACACTGAAGAAGTTTAAATGATAAGTATTATGGTAATGAGCTCGGACTGAGCTCACAGCTCGGACCAGTGACCAGAAATACCAAAAAACAATAGTTAATTCCCCCTCTCCATAAAATATATCTGAACTTGTACTCATTGAGCACGTCTCGACAGACGAAGAAATAAGAGACGTCCAGCACCCAGACACAGGGTGCTGGAGGCCGACTTACCAGTGGGAGACTTGGGGATGAAGTTGAGGGTCCTGGTCTTGGAGCGGAGCATCTCGCCCGACCCATCTATCCAGACGTACATCACCTGACACTTGCCGTCAGGGATGGCCAGCCTCATGTACCTGTCCATCACCGTCTTGTTGGTGGTGCGGGAACTGATGAGTGACTCCCCCATGGTAGCTGCAGCGGCCTGTTGACCCACACACTCGTCACTCCACATCACCACTATTATACATTGTCAGTATACATTACTGTACATCACACAGTCCTCAAGTCACCCTCTAATGTTTTAAATAAATATTACAGATATTAATAATACCACGAAATAACTGAATATGATCAATATATTCTTACGGGAAGACGAGCTGAGAAAGACAACTTGAACCGTAAACTTGTACAATATATCACCCCTGAGAGAGCTGTGATGGGTCATATATCACCCCTGAGAGAGCTCTGATGGGTCATATATCACCCCTGAGAGAGCTGTGATGGGTCATATATCACCCCTGAGAGAGCTGTGATGGGTCATATATCACCCCTGAGAGAGCTCTGATGGGTCATATATCACCCCTGAGAGAGCTGTGATGGGTTATATATCACCCCTGAGAGAGCTCTGATGGGTCATATATCACCCCTGAGAGAGCTCTGATGGGTCATATATCATCCCTGAGAGAGCTCTGATGGGTCATATATCACCCCTGAGAGAGCTCTGATGGGTCATATATCATCCCTGAGAGAGCTCTGATGGGTCATATATCACCCCTGAGAGAGCTCTGATGGGTCATATATCACCCCTGAGAGAGCTCTGATGGGTCATATATCACCCCTGAGAGAGCTCTGATGGGTCATATATCATCCCTGAGAGAGCTCTGATGGGTCATATATCACCCCTGAGAGAGCTCTGATGGGCCATATATATCACCCCCTGAGAGAGCTGTGATGGGCCATATATCACCCCTGAGAGAGCTGTGATGGGCCATATATATCACCCCTGAGAGAGCTGTGATGGGTCATATATCACCCCCTGAGAGAGCTGTGATGGGCCATATATATCACCCTGAGAGAGCTGTGATGGGTCATATATCACCCCTGAGAGAGCTGTGATGGGTCATATACCACCCCTGAGAGAGCTCTGATGGGTCATATATCACCCCTGAGAGAGCTCTGATTGGTCACATATATCACCCCTGAGAGAGCTCTGATGGGCAATATATATCACGCCTGAGAGAGCTCTGATGGGCCATATATATCACCCCTGAGAGAGTTCTGATGGGTCACATATCACCCCTGAGAGAGCTCTGATGGGTCACATATCACCCCTGAGAGAGTTCTGATGGGTCACATATCACCCCTGAGAGAGCTCTGATGGGTCACATATCACCCCTGAGAGAGCTCTGATGGGCCATATATCACCCCTGCGAGAGCTCTGATGGGCCATATATATCACCCCTGAGAGAGTTCTGATGGGTCACATATCACCCCTGAGAGAGCTCTGATGGGTCACATATCACCCCTGAGAGAGCTCTGATGGGACATATATCACCCCTGAGAGAGCTGTGATGGGACATATATCACCCCTGAGAGAGCTGTGATGGGTCATATATATCACCCCTGAGAGAGCTCTGATGGGTCACATATCACCCCTGAGAGAGCTCTGATGGGTCACATATCACCCCTGAGAGAGCTCTGATGGGTCACATATCACCCCTGAGAGAGCTCTGATGGGTCACATATCACCCCTGAGAGAGCTCTGATGGGCCATATATCACCCCTGAGAGAGCTGTGATGGGTCACATATCACCCCTGAGAGAGCTCTGATGGGTCACATATCACCCCTGAGAGAGCTCTGATGGGACATATATCACCCCTGAGAGAGCTCTGATGGGACATATATCACCCCTGAGAGAGCTCTGATGGGACACATATCACCCCTGAGAGAGCTCTGATGGGACACATATCACCCCTGAGAGAGCTCTGATGGGACATATATCACCCCTGAGAGAGCTGTGATGGGATAAACCCTACACTGAGACATTATGGACAGATGGGACATACAGACATACACAAAGCTACAGCAACTAGCTGGGATTAGTTTACTTCAGTCATCATTCAAAAGGATTTTAGATTAAAAAAAGATAGCTTCTGTACAAAACTGTTTGCAAGTGGATGCAAAGTCCAACACCTCAGAGAAGAGGCTCACGAGCATCTTGCTTTTAATTCCCTTCATATCACACGTGTTACAGTTGTCTGGACCAGTCACACGTGTTACAGCTGTCTGGAACAGTCACACGTGTTACAGCTGTCTGGAACAGTCACACGTGTTACAGTTGTCTGGACCAGTCACACGTGTTACAGCTGTCTGGACCAGTCACACGTGTTACAGCTGTCTGGAACAGTCACACGTGCTACAGTTGTCTGGACCAGTCACACGTGTTACAGCTGTCTGGAACAGTCACACGTGTTACAGTTGTCTGGACCAGTCACACGTGTTACAGCTGTCTGGAACAGTCACACGTGTTACAGCTGTCTGGAACAGTCACACGTGTTACAGTTGTCTGGACCAGTCACACGTGTTACAGCTGTCTGGAACAGTCACACGTGTTACAGCTGTCTGGACCAGTCACACGTGTTACAGCTGTCTGGAACAGTCACACGTGTTACAGCTGTCTGGAACAGTCACACGTGTTACAGCTGTCTGGAACAGTCACACGTGTTACAGCTGTCTGGAACAGTCACAATTGTTACAGCTGTCTGGAACAGTCACACGTGTTACAGCTGTCTGGAACAGTCACACGTGTTACAGCTGTCTGGAACAGTCACAATTGTTACAGCTGTCTGGAACAGTCACAAGTGTTACAGCTGTGTACTAAACGGTTTGGCAGGTCGTATTCCAGGGAAAATTAGGATTAAGAACTTGCCCGGAAAGCTACCATGTGTGCTAGTTAGTGGCTGTACAAGAATGTAAGAACTATTGTACATACACACACAAAAAAAAAGTCTCAAACAAGAGGCTGTTCTGGAAACCGGAACATGCCGGAGGGGTGACAGGGAGACTTCTGACGTGGATGAAAAGTTTTCTAACTGACAGACAGATGAGGGCAGCAATCAGAGACAATGTATCTGACTGGAGGAGTGTTACTAGCGGAGTACCACAGGGTTCAGTTTTTGCACCAGTAATGTTCATCGTCTACATAAACCATCTACCAGAAGGAATACAGAATTATATGAACATGTTTGTGGAAGATGTTGAGATACTGGGGCAGATGGGAGACGCAGACCATTGTAATGTCCTTCTAATTGATCTAGACAAAATAAGTGCTTGGAGCGTCAAGTGGCAATGTGAATAAGTGCTATGTTACGGATGTGAAATCTGAGATAAAAAAAAAACACAACTTACAAATTATGTGGAAAGGCATTACAGAAGTGTAATAAAGAACTAGACCTCGGGGGTGGTTTAGGATAGTAAGGTGTCGCCAGAGGAACACATGAAGAACATTGTGAGAGGAGCGTATGATCCGCTTTCCAACTTCAGACTTGCTTTTAATTATATGGATGATGAAATACTAAAGAAACTGTTCATGACTTTTGTGAGACCAAAACTGGAATATGCAGCAGTTGTGTGGCGCCCAACTCTCAAGGGGCAGCAGTTGTGTGGCGCCCAACTCTCAAGGGGCAGCAGTTGTGTGGCGCCCAACTCTCAAGGGGCAGCAGTTGTGTGGCGCCCAACTCTCAAGGGGCAGCAGTTGTGTGGCGCCCAACTCTCAAGGGGCAGCAGTTGTGTGGCGCCCAACTCTCAAGGGGCAGCAGTTGTGTGGCGCCCAACTCTCAAGGGGAACATCAATATACTGGAAGAGGTGCAGCAACACGCTACACAATGGCTCCCGGAACTAAAAAACAAGAGTTATGAGGAGGAATTAGAGGCGCTAAATATGCCACAACTAGAAAATAGAAGAAAGAGGTGATATAATCACCACTTACAAAATACTCACAAGAATCGACCAAACTGACAAAGAGGAGTTCCTGAAACAAGCAAACTTCACAAACAAGACGACACAGATTCAAGCTAAGGAAACAAAGGTGCCGAAAAAATATTAGTAAGTGTTCTTTTGTATAGAGAGTGGTAGACGGTTGGGACAGGCAAGTGCAAAGGTGGTTTCTTCAACCGTCAGTAGTTTGAGAGTGTTATACGACAAAGAGTACTGGGAAGACGGGACACCACCAGCGTAGCTCTTATCCAGTAACTACATTTAGGTAATTATATACAAGGTAGACACACCAGCGGTGTTCAAAGCTAGACTCATGGGTGACACTCTAGCTGGCTCATGGGTGACACTCTACCTGGCTCATGGGTGACACTCTAGCTGGCTCATGGGTGACACTCTAGCTGGCTCATGGGTGACACTCTAGCTGGCTCATGGGTGACACTCTAGCTGGCTCATGGGTGACACTCTAGCTGACTCATGGGTGACACTCTAGCTGGCTCATGGGTGACACTCTACCTGGCTCATGGGTGACACTCTACCTGGCTCATGGGTGACACTCTACCTGGCTCATGGGTGACACTCTAGCTGGCTCATGGGTGACACTCTACCTGGCTCATGGGTGACACTCTACCTGGCTCATGGGTGACACTCTAGCTGGCTCATGGGTGACACTCTACCTGGCTCATGGGTGACACTCTACCTGGCTCATGGGTGACACTCTACCTGGCTCATGGGTGACACTCTACCTGGCTCATGGGTGACACTCTACCTGGCTCATGGGTGACACTCTACCTGGCTCATGGGTGACACTCTACCTGGCTCATGGGTGACACTCTACCTGGCTCATGGGTGACACTCTACCTGGCTCATGGGTGACACTCTACCTGGCTCATGGGTGACACTCTACCTGGCTCATGGGTGACACTCTACCTGGCTCATGGGTGACACTCTACCTGGCTCATGGGTGACACTCTACCTGGCTCATGGGTGACACTCTACCTGGCTCATGGGTGACACTCTACCTGGCTCATGGGTGACACTCTACCTGGCTCATGGGTGACACTCTACCTGGCTCATGGGTGACACTCTACCTGGCTCATGGGTGACACTCTACCTGGCTCATGGGTGACACTCTACCTGGCTCATGGGTGACACTCTAGCTGGCTCATGGGTGACACTCTAGCTGGCTCATGGGTGACACTCTAGC